GCAATTTTCTCTCCTATCCTTTTTATTTATTTGATTTTCTCTCCTATCCATTTATATCAATCCTGCGCCAAAAAAGGAGGGTTTTCCCATTCGCGACCAGGCCAGCGCGCCAAAATCCCCACTCTCCACGCCAGGTTTTCCCATTCACGAACGCGTCATGCCGTCGTCGCGCCGTAGATATTTGGAGTGGCGCGATGGAGTTTGGACCCGTCGAATTTCGGCACAGCCGGGCACGCCAGTTCAGTTTTGCCATTGACGTGGTTTTTGGAACGGCGTCGCTCCGTTTGGACTGCTAGGAGCAATCGTGAATGGCCAGCTTTAGATGGTGATTAAAGTACATGTTGCTAGGTCGATCTGAAGTTTTACGTGTGACGTTAGATGTAGATGTAATTTCAGGGTATAGTATACTGCGCCCTTTAAGAGCTATTTTATCCCCCGTGCTCTGCCTAAAGCACATCGGTTAGTCCTATTTCATCAAGAAACTTGATTAATAGGCCCGGTTTCAGTGGTTGAAGCTCTTCTATGGTCACATTATACATCTCAAAACATTTCCTCCTGCGGGCTAGTGTAGCTCCGCAGTTTGTTAGTAGATGTGTTAGTGTCTCTTCTGCCTCGTTGCAGAATCTGCATGTGCCATCTTGGATTTAACAATCCATTTGTCTTTAAGTATCAATTTAATTTGCAATGTCCTGTTAGGAATCCTATTAGCATTCGCAGTCTGTTCCTGCTTCCTTTGACACATTCTGTAATTTCTTTCCTACCAGAATTGGTTAGAAGATTCTTGGATTGTCTATGTCCAATGAGTGAATTCCAAAGTTCCCTCATTTTCTTTTTGTCCTGTCTGAGATTGATGTTCAAACCTAAAGGCGAAGGAGCCAATAGGCTCACAGTCGAGTGTGATTTACAAGGTGTCATGTGCGGGTTGCCATATCCAGTATGTTGGGCAAACAAAACAAAAAGTAGAAATAAGTATGAACCAACATAGACTGGACTGTTTAAATAGAAAGAAAACCACGGGATTGGCAACACATGCGACGGAAAGTGGTCATTTCTTCAAGTTGGACTCCCCTGGGATCCTGGGCAGAGAGTTGAACTTGGAGAGACGACTACTTTTGGAAAAAGTCTTTGTTCATGTTACGAAAAACACTTGTAATTTACAAATGAATCGACTGGGCTCCAACATGGCACATTCGGGAATCCTACAACTGTTCATGAATCGAAATAAAGCGCAAGTTGGTGTGTCTAATCACACCGGGATTGATAACAGGGATGGGTCCCTTACCATGTTATAACCGTCCGATGTATGTTCTCAATTTTCTTCAAATCCTTGTAGTCGTATATAGTTAAATTATAATTTTAAGTTAAAAAACAGTAAAAAAAAAGTTGTATATATATGACGTATCTATGATAGAGAAATACATGTACCTGAGATCTAGTGTTAACTTATGAAAAAGTGAAACCAAAGGATGACCGATGAGGGTTACTAGTCTTTAAGCAAGACGGTTTTTGTTTTTTAGTATATAGATTCATTTTCACCTTCACTTCAAAAAAACAACAAACGTGCAATAAATTGAATTTTCCTAACAACTGGGTTAAATACGTAATTGTATTTTTGTAATGTATTTATATAAGATGTGCTTATGTAACTCTGTTCATGTAAATTTTGTTTTTTAATAAATTAGGCCCTGATGATGGCGGAACATTCGCCGAAGCTTGGTGAAACCCAATAGTGATGTTCTTTATTCACCTGTAATTACCTCAAGAAGATCCAATACAACATCAGTTTAAACTACGTAGGTCGATCAACGTCAACTAGAATTCTGTGAGATAGTCGTTAATAGTGTAGATTCCTATGGCACAGAAGGGACAGGTCCAGTTAGCGGTGTAGCAGCCCCTTTCCTTGCAAGAGCTGACTTTATTGTGCATACCTAATATATTTAGTTTGGTTTTGCATTTCAGCACCATCCTTGAACTAATGATATTTGAACTTAGTGCTTTGATGGCTGCTTGGCTATCTGACATGATATATCCTTGTTTTTGTACCCTTTACTTAGGTTTAGATGGATACATCTTTCGATTGCATGAATCTCAGCTTGGAAGATACTGGTGTATTTTCCCTTGGGTTTTGAGTATTTGGTTCCAGGTCCAAATACTCCTGCCCCTACCTTCTTGCGTTCTAGATCCATCTGTGTACCAGAGGATGGTCCATTTTAAAAAGAATTGTTTCCCTCTCTTTTAAAATGATCTGGAGTTTTACGTGTGACGTTAACAAAAGTCCAGAAACTTTTGATGTTGTGAGGAACGTTACTTTCAATATATGAATTTATAGCTTATGTAAGACAGAGAGTGTGATCGGGTGGAATAATATCTCATGTAATCATTCAGAAGTTTAATTCTCTTGTAATTCGAGGCGAGGAATAGAATTTTCAATTCAGAGGAGTAGGATTTCGGAAAATGTGATTGCCTAATTAATCTGATCATTGAAATAAAATTAAGCAAAATTTTAAGAAATATTACAAAAGAGTCATCAGTGTTTAGTGAGGAAGAGAATCACGTCGCGCTCAGAGTATTAAAAGTATTGAATATACGATTGTAGCCACTACAGTGATCATAAATGTAATAAGATAAATTGAGAAGTCCGATAGAGTATAGAGGTAATGTTGAAAGGAGAATATTTTTCAGCAATTATGACTATATCATCATTATCACACGTTTGCATAACACCATCTTTTTGAGACCACTGTACAATCTTAACTTTTAACGGTCGGATTAAAAGAAAAGTAGGTGCAAAAAGAATCAGTGGCTCCCATCCCTCCTTGGACATTTCCTAAACCGAAAATTTTGTATTAACTTGCAAATTTCCCAAAGCCCTTACACCTTTTCATGTATACCAGCAGGAGTTTTTGAAAATAAAAAACGCACTCCCACAAGCGGCATTTATCTATACGGACGGATCAAGGAGCTCCAGAGGCGTGGGAGCTGCGTCTATATGTGGCCCTAACAAATTTCTGTTCTCTCTACATCATTTCTGTAGCAACTATAGCGCTGAGCTACTAGCCATACGGAAATCTCTAAATTTTATATGTTCTGATAAGAATAGTAGCTATGTGATTTGCTCTGATTCAGAATCGGCCTTACATGCCTTGGAACACCCCTATTCAGATGATCCTGGTGTGCAGGAGGTGCTGGCGTCACTGGAGAGCCTCCAACTGCAGGGAAAGAGCGTTTACTTCGTCTAGGTTCCTGGACATGTAAACATTAAAGGAAACCATTTGGCAGATGAAGCTGCAAAAGAAGCAGCCATTATTCAAATCAGGAACGTTTCAAAGGGTGATATGACTATAGTTTACAAGTCAAAAGTTAAGGGTCAATGGGAACAGGTCTGGATTAACATATCTGAAAACAAACTACGGGAAATAAAGAACTCTGTAGATGCTTGGCCTATTTCATTCAGAAATAGTAGAAGGGAAGAAGTGGTTCTTGCACAGTTGAGGATTGGACACTGTAGAGCCACTAAGGGTCATTTGATGGGGCGAGAGGCACCTCCAATTTGCGGAATGTGCAATCAAATCGTCACAATCAAACATATATTTACGTCATGCTCATTACATTCAGCCCATAGACGTCTACACTCCTTGCCTATAAGCATCCAAGAAATGCTAGGCGACAACAATGGTAATATATGTAATTTGTTTGATTTCCTCAAATCAGCAAATCTACTCGACAAAATATGAGCTCACACTGTTTGTCCTTCTTTATATATACAAGATCAGATATATAAAGATAAATTAAATAACATAAATAAAGATAATAAGATAATAATAATTAGATATGACCATAATAAAGATAATAAATAATAATAATATATATAGAATAATGATAAATAAATATAGATCGACAAATATACTAGGTCGACCGACCGCGTGGGTAGGTTTAATCTGTATGCGTCTTTCTACCTATTAGATAATGAGTTAGTCATTGGGACAATCATGACCCTTGGTGGTTGCGTTCCCTTAAAAATAAAAAAAATAAAAAAATAAAAAAACGGTCGGATTTTTATTCACTTCGCAATGTTATAAAACTATCAGTAACAAATGAGCAAATGTTTAATATGCGTATTTTGCGCTTTGTGTGCACAGTTGGACCTGGGGGATATAAAAAGTACACGACGCGGTGGAATATCAGTCTTAAGAACGTCATCAGCAGCTATGAGCTTACTCTCGACAACTTTGGCTTTCGCAGCCTTCACTGGCGTGATAGCCGGCAACAATACAGAGTTAAAGTAAACCATTATAACAATAAATATTTCGTATTGAGAATTTATTTAAAGGTTCTTTGGTATTTCTGGGTTAAAGGCATGATGTGGCTTTACATCTGTGTAAGTAGGCCAACCGGAGAGTCTTTTATTTTATTAATGCTTTTAGATTAATAAAAGCAAATACATTTTTGTAATAAATTTATTTCCTTCTTTTGTTTTAGGGTCCGTGTTGTCACTTGGAACGTTAATAGCAACTTTTTACCGGCAAATTTCACAGACTTACTCGGCGTGGCTGTAAGTAACGAAACAAATTAGATTTTCTTCTACTTACGCGATCTATTAGCGACAATTATTTGGTTTTAGAGAATGGTACAAACCGAAGGGCCTGAGATGATTGTGGTCGGACTACAAAATTTAGGAGTATTGGCTAGTGAAAAGGACAACGAATGGATCGAAGCCTTGAAGGTCCATGTAAACGAAAAATCCTATTATCCGGCAAGTTTATTTATTTGGAAGATAACATGAAAAGCGTTGCAATAGTTTTTGAACTAAAATTTCTTTTTAGATCGAAGCCAGTATACGTAAGGGCAATGGATTTGTGATCTTCCTCAAGGTTAGCATATATTCAAACCTTGAATTATCAGTGAACTCGCGAGGTGTGAATTTGAAATGGCTTTCCAAAGACGGCGCGATCATCACGAATTTCAAATATTTGGGAAAACAATTCACTTTCGTGGGTTTGCAGCTCGACAAAAAAGTCGATGAAAAAAAGAGGGTGGAGGAATACGAAGATGTCAAAAAGAATATAAAGGAGAACTACGATCGAGATAGTGATTTCGTGTTTTGGCTCGGAAATTTGAACTTCAAGATCGAGCTAAATCAAACTAAGGCCAAGGAGTATATCGAGAAGAAGGATTGGACTACGCTTCTAACTTACGATCAGCTCAAGAAAACTCAAAAGGAGAAAAAGGCGTTTGAAGAGTTAACGGAGCAGAATATCAATTTCGGACCAACGTTCAAGTTCAAACCGGCCACTGACAAGTATAATTGGGAAGAAACACCTTCCTGGGCAGACAGGATCTTGTTCCGTTCGAAGAAAAACAATGCAATCACACCCGTTAAGTACGAAAGTATCGAGAAGTACAAAGAGAGCGACCACAAACCGGTCGTGGGTGAATTTATCTTGAAATTGACTTGAAATTCTTTTTGTGTTCTATTTCATGGCCAGTCCAAAAGAAAGTAAATGTATATAATATTTGATCACTTTAATCCTTCAGGAAATGTTTTACAATTATACCATACCCTAAAAGAGAGAAAATGAGAGAGAGAGAGAGAGAGAGAGAGAGAGAGAGAGAGAGAGAAGGAGAGAGAGTGAGAGGGAGGGAGTGAGGCAGAAGGGGAGTGAAACAGATGGGGAGAAATAGAGAGAGAGGGAGAGAGACAGACAGAAGGGGAGTGTGACAGAGGGGGGAGAGAGAGATAGGAGAGAGAGAGAGAGAGGGTGAGAGAGAGAAGGAGAGAGAGTGAGAGGGGGGAGTGAGACAGATGGGGAGAAATAGAGAGAGAGGGAGAGAGACGGAGAGGGAGAGAGACAGACAGAAGGGGAGTGAGACAGAGGGGNGAGAAGTAGAGAGAGAGGGAGAGAGACAGACAGAATTGGAGTGAGACAGAGGGGAGAGAGAGAGAGAGAGAGAGAGAGAGAGAGAGAGAGAGAGAGAGAGAGAGATAGAGAGAGAGAGAGAGAGAGAGAGAGACATACAGACAGACAGAGAGACAGACAGACAGAGAGGGAGAGAGAGAGTGAGAGGGAGGGAGTGAGATAGAGGTAGAGAGAGTGAGAGAGACACGGTGGGAGGGAGAGAGTGAGTGATAGGGAGGGAGAGAGACAGAGGGAAAGAAGGAGAGAGAGAGAGAGAGAGAGAGAGATTGATATCGCTTTATTTACATAACCTCTCAAGATTTGGTCTCGAGGACCCCTCTTACATGTAAAGAGAGAGAGAGAGTGAGAGAGGGAAGGAGGGAGAGAGAGATTGATTGATTGATATCGCTTTATTTACACAATATCTCAAGATTTGGTCTCGAGGACCACTCTTCCACCTAAAGAGAGAAAGATAGAGAGAGAGAGAGTGAGAGAGGGAGGGAGGGAGAGAGTGAGTGAGTGAGAGAGAGTGAGCGAGAGGGTGAGGGGGCGGGACAGAGGGAGAGAGAAACAAAAAGAATTTGAAAGAGAGGATGATTGAATGAATGAACAATTTATTTATTTTTGTGTGGTGATTAGTGACCGTTAATCAATAATTATTCAGAAATCGTGAGATACGGTAGGACCTACATCATACATCTCACGATTTCTGAATAATTTATTTATTAATCACAGCCAGATTTGGTCTTAAGGATCACTCTTAGATCTAACGTGAAATACATATTTACGACGAAGTTACTATACTTTATTATTACCACTTAGTATAATACATTTACAATACATCACACCGTACACTCCCACATAACAACCAACATCGACCAAAACATCTCCGGATCAAATGAATTTTTTGTTTATAAAGGAATAAATAATTTCTGATTGTTCTGTCTCTAAGGAGGGATAATAGGTCATCTCAACAAACAATAACCACCTTTTTTCTATCTACTTTGTTTCGGACTTATTTTAGTCCTTCCTCAGGTGAGTTAGCGCCTATACACAGAACAAAGATTTCTTACGAATTCTTATTAATGGAATAAATAATAATCTTTTCCAAACAAACATCAAATTATGGAATGAGGGATTATTATACAAATTAAAGTTATTTTTACCCCAGGCCTGTTATCTGATTATACAATCATACCTTAAGTAGAGATTTTTCTAAACCAGGGACTTCCCAGATGAAAGAAGTGCTTGCAGGTGTCACAAGGTTCAGATGTTCCATCTTTACTCATGGGCGTTGAGACCCATGAGGATCTTTAAGGTCCGGACTTATCCCCAAGGGGGCTCTCAGACGCACGGTGTTCTCGAAAGAACATCAGGAAGATTTTACATGCATGGACTTGTCACATCCCTTGGCCAGCGAGCTGGTGCAATACTAGCCAAGTTCAGAAGTGCCCTGAAAAGGGCACATCCATACATGTGCCTTAAAAAAGGCAATTTTGTGGTTTCCAGCATAGCCTCTCGGCTATGCCTTTCACCACCCCCGGAGAGATAGAGAAGGCACTCTATCTCCAGCTCCGGTTGGCCGGTACCCTCCAGCTAAGGTACAATTTGTTTGCAAACCACAACCACCACGAGTCCAACCTCTTGGAGCCGCTTGGATACTCCACTCCCGTGGTTCAGTATGCACCCGTTGCCTGAGGGGTTCAGTAACCCAGGAATCCTCTGTCAAAGCAAAGGTGGAGAGGGAGGGAAAAGGAAAGGGGAGGAAAGATAAGGAAGGTAATAGGGATAATGCCTCCATCATTGGTTGCCCCCAGGCACCAGGGTTGGTGGTCGGACTTTGCCTGGGCCCACAGGGAATATGTCCCCGTGGGTAGTGTGACAAGGGTTAATAAAAAAACTAGTGGCACGAGCGGGATCTGAATCCATGGCCTTCGGGTAAATACGCCGCTGCTCTACCACTCGAGCTATCGTGACTTCGATCCTCTCCTACACCAAAATATGGCAAAAAGAGAGAAAATTCGAACAGTTGTAGGTTGAGATGGGGAGTTGGTGCCCGAGTGGATCGAACTATCGCAGTCAGGATAGCTCAAGTGGTTAGCGCAGCGGCGTATTTAGCCGAATGTCGTGGATTCGAATCCCCTCGTGACCTCTATTTTTTCATTTCAACCAAAACCTTACAAAAAAGATTAACGTCTTATTTATATTTACTCCAGCTTGTTATCCCCCTTGATTAGAAAACAAAAGACAGTCATGAGAGAAATCATCACTCTACATGAAAGGTTAGCAAGCACATTACGATTTCTCGCTACAGGGAAGGACTACAAAGAACTTAAGTTCTCTACTGCAATTTCTGATCATTGTTAGGGGTTATCAATACCGCATCTCTCATTGCATTTGTATCCTTTGTTTTGAAAACGTCTTCCAACTGGTTGAGGATCGAATTTCTTTTATTTCTATCAAGGTAATATAATCGTTGTCCACCACTTTCATAAACATGGTAAACTTTCATACAATTCAATCACCTCAACAATGAAATCTCGATTGGATGTCATTACCAATAAAGAATAAACGTTTTTGACTTTTTGAGAATGTACGACGGAGATGTTTGCTCAGTGACATTGTGACAGAAAGACGGAGTCTGCGCCAAAAAAGGAGGGTTTTCCCATTCGCGACCAGGCCAGCGCGCCAAAATCCCCACTCTCCACGCCAGGTTTTCCCATTCACGAACGCGTCATGCCGTCGTCGCGCCGTAGATATTTGGAGTGGCGCGATTGAGTTTGGACCCGTCGAATTTCGGCACAGCCGGGCACGCCAGTTCAGTTTTGCCATTGACGTGGTTTTTGGAACGGCGTCGCTCCGTTTGAACTGCTTGCCACCTTTAACAGTGGTAAACGCCGTGTCATCGCCTAAACCGTTGCGACCACCGACGCACCACTATGTTTTTCTGTTAATCATAAAAGTGATATCGATGTTTTAGAGACAGCACTTTCCATGAGGTTGGATAGTGCTGAAAACATCAATGAGCTTGTTTTAATATTTGATATGTTACATCTTTGTTTTACCAGGCAGTTCGACTGTATCGAAAAAAAACCGATTTATTTCTGTTGATATTCATAAGTATATTAATGTTCGGCTATGAACTTCGATAGCAACGAAAGAAGGATTTTTTTTGTATATATTTGAAAGTTGTGACGATGATTTTAACACATCGATAGTTTAAACTTTTTAAACGTGTAAAATTGAGTCTGAAATTTACGTTCTAGCCAAAAATAAAAGAAACGGTATTTAAAAAAAACCTAGTTACGAATTCGAAACGTATTACATAAAACAATAGAAAACAAGATTTGATTTAATAAATTAAATCTATTTGAACAACTAATTATGTTAGAAATATGTTTGAAATTAGGTAAAATCTTTAAAATTGTATGCGTAATCAGAATTTACAGACTATCCTTAAAAAAAGAGCTTTACAATCATATTCAATCGAGTAGGATTGCAGTTTAAAAAATTGGAAAAAACAGCTACAAAAATCGTTTATCTGTGAGACGAAAATATTTAGGACATGAGGACCTCTATGTTCTATTTCATCCGTTCAATTTGTACCAAATTTTAAGTCATAAAATGAATATTGTAGTCGAATCATTTTAGCTTGGTAAGAAATTCGCAATTTTCTCCCCTATCCTTTTTTCCATTTATATAATGACCTGTCCGACTCCATCCAGTCCTGTACTATCACCTATATGCCGATGACTCCCAAATATACATATCCTTCCATCCTTCCGATTTCGGCCATTCTCAAGATCCAAAAAGACTTAAACGCCATCAACGAATGGGGACATAAAAATTCACTAGTCCTCAATCTGTCCAAATCCACCGCCATAATTATCGGGTCCAGGCAACTCCTCAATTCCTAACCTCTGAGACTAGGACCAACCTCTCATGCTAAATAACCATCCCATTTCCTTCTGCTCCTCGGTTAAAAACCTAGGAGTAATCTGACCAAAACCTTTCCTGGCATCCTCACATTTCCCAAATTTCCCGCCAGTGCATTTCCTCCCTCAGCCTATTTCGTCGATCCTGGCTTCTCTTACCTTTCTCCTCCCGCAAACTCCTTGTACCTTCCTTTATACTTCCCTTCCTCGATTACAGCTTATTACGTTTTTTAAGGAAAAAAAAATGGATTTTCTGGTGACTTGCCTGTGCCTGCGTGCGGAGACAAAAATGTTACTTTTAAGTTGTATAAATTTGAATTTTGGCGTGGAAGATGAGAGCGTCAGGCGGCAGCACGAGCGTGGGCGTCGAGGCCTGGAACGCGACCGAGGGGAGAAAGTTAAGGGCCCTCGGCCCGGAGAGACGTGTCTGCCGAGTGAAGGACGAGCGGCCAAAGAAAAGGGGAAATTCACGCTGCGGCGGATTGTTCGTCCTCATTAACCTGGCAACTTCCCCTGATCAGAGTGATGGGGAAGAGAACTCAGAAGAGGATTTGTGGTTCTACGAGGACGAATCATTTTCCCCCGACTGAGGCTGCTCCCGGATGAGGACCACGCTGTGCCAGGGCCGATTTGGGTCTCGAAAGTTGTGGGTTCAGTTCCACACTCCGATAGTTTTTTTCCCCCTTTGGTTTCATTTTTTCCTCTTCCTCCTTCCTTTACCTCTATTTCTTTTCTTCTCTTAAGGTTTCGGTATTTACCCTTCCCAAAAATACCGTGGCGCTCAACAATTCCCTACCTCTCTCCTTCACCCACCCCCTTCACAACTGAGCGACGGGACCAACTGTTGTCGGCCGAAGTTTCGACCGTAACAAGCTGTGTGGCATACAGTGGTACGGGAGAACAAGCGATTAGTGCGGATTTTGAATTGTCGCGTAAGATTCGTGTTCAGCACCCCACGGAGGTCCCGGGTGTCGGAGTTATATTCCCAACTTTCCTGGCTCTACCCCTCCTTCCGTGCACAGTATTTCCTAGGTTGCTTTCTTTTCCAGTCCATCCACACTCGTCGTCCTCCTGACATTCCCAACCCCTCCAATTCAACTCCTCACATCACACTCGTAACACCCACTCATCCCCAATCGACCTTATCCTTCCGCAACATACAACCCATACCTTCGAAAGATCCTTTCTGATCCGAGGCCCTAAATTCTGGAACTCGCTTCCCCTTTCTATTCGTCACGCTTCCTCCTTTTCCTCCTTTAAATCCCACATGTATAATCCAATCCCTCCAAGCAGAGATCTCTCGTTAACATTTGATATTTTTGTTTAATATTCTTGTAATTTTCTCTTCTGGCCTGCCTTACTGGCCACCATTGTGCCAAGATTTCTATCTCTTTTTACTTTTAACTTCATAGAAGGAACTTACTTTATTTATTTCATGTATATTATTCTTAGGGGACACCAGTCCTAGAATAAAGTTATTTTTCTTCTTCTTCTTAAAAATTTTCCTCTTTTTACCGTTTGCAGGAGTGTATTCGTAGCGAAGACTTGGATCGGTCCCTTACTGGGGCTGCTGTGAAAGCTGAAAAGAGTCCTCCGGTTTACTTACTACCTGATCCTAAGATCCCACCTATTCGACAGATACTTTCCCCCTCTTTATCGGCTGGCTATCGCACAGGTGTAGGGGCACCACAAGGAAGTATCTTAGGGCCCATCCTCTTCGCAGTATACACCGCAGATTTTCTTACTCTTCCTGAAACGATCCTCACCACCTGCGGATAACGGGACATCCATTGTTCTCATAAAGATCCTGCCATCATGTATATATGTACATCAACGAGAAACCTGCAAACTCATGTCACGTCCCTTGAGCAGTGGTTAAAGAAGTGGAAGATGACAATATACACGCAACTTGTAACGTTTCATCCGTAAATCCTCCAAACCATCATGAATGCTCCTTTATGTGTGTGCAATCGTATTATTTATATTCACAATGATCATAATATTCAATATGTCCTTGAAGTAGCGAATGGTAACTATGTGGATCTCCTCAGAAAAAAAAGGTTTAAACAAGAAAACAAAAAACAAAATAAAAATTAATCCTTCTAATTAAAAAAAAAAAAAAAAATAGAAAACATATATACATTAATTGACAAACAATAAAAATTATAATACAAGACTCTACTCACAATCCACACTCAGCTGAGATATGAAATATTATTTTTTAAATTTGGGAAAGGCTAGAAATCAAATGCCCGTATTCAAGTGGTCGACCCCAGAGAGAAGAGAGCGAAAAATTTCTTTTTTCATCCGAGAGGTTTTTTCCCCGCGAAAACTCTCGATGTTTTTGTGGCGCCCTCTTTCCGGCTGGCGCCCTTTTCCAAAACTCTCCAATATATATAATATATTGCTCCCGAGTACTCATCGTCAACAAGACAAGAGGATCTTTAACGTCCGCACCTAGCCTATTCGGCCTTATCGGACGTTTTGATTCTCAAGATGAGAGCTGACGCACTTCTGCATACGACGGAATGGTGTTACCGCCGCAGCATTGGTGTAGAGGTTTCCCAGCTCCTAAGGGCCAGTCCAACCACGCTCTCCGCTTGTCCACTCCGAATGGTCGGGCCCGCATTGTGCATCGGGTCGTATGCCGCACGCGAGGGGCTAACAGGCCGAAATACATCCCCCCCCTCGTACTCCTAGATAGAGAAGGCCACTCTATCTCCCTGAGTATAGTGGCTCCCCCAGCGTAGAAACTTCCGGGAATGCTCCGGCAGCGGTTTAGTTTTTAAAGTGGAAAGCTAAAAGCTAACCACCCCCTAGATGTGCACCGCCTACGGTAAAGTCTCTTATCGAGCTCAGCCTACACCTGCTATGCGAATTCGAGGGACGCCATAGGCTTAGCGTAGGTGGTCCGATCCTTCGCTTCCCAATACTCGAGTCTAAGACACCGACTCACTACCCGCTTCCATTCGCTTACTTACGCATTCGAGGGACTATAGCATGATCATTACGTCCTCAACGCTTACATGCTGTCGTCCGGTCGCAACGTCTCCCGTGAGGCCGGGGGGTTTTACGTTGGCCATACGCAAGCTTCACGAAGATCACAAATAGAAGACAGCTGTCTAAGTTCCCGCCAGGGGCGTCACCACGCACCACCACGAAACATTCCCAGTGCAACTAGGGCTGATTTTGAAACTTTTCAGTTACCCCGTGGTACAGATGGCCATACACCCTCCCCCGTCTTTGCAGACAGGATCTAGTGCACTGGCCCTCGTGATATATAAGCGAATATGATATAAGCGAAAACCCGGAATAAGTAGTTTCACAAATAATTATCCAGTCAGACAAACCCTTATGTCGGAAATATTTCAACCCGCACCCTTCCAAGTAATCATCCCCAACGGCTAAAGCGTCACTGGCTTCACAACCTCCTAATTGGCAGTGAAAGTGTTTATCGCTGATATATAGATGAGACTACTAATGAGTAGTAGCACTTTTTGTTTAAGTAAATTTTTTAAACATTTTTCTTTATGTTTTTCGGTTGTTTTGTGTTTTAAAATGTTACCACATCTAATAAGGGCAGTAATTGGCGCAGATGTAAAACCTAAAAATTAAAAATCACTGTTTGCACGCTACACTCATATCCAGTTGAAATAACAAAATTCTGTGTACACAACTGGAATGAAAGGTTGTAACACTGTACCAAAGAATCAAAGATTTATTTAAGCGTAAATTACATAATTTATTAAAAAGAAAATGTATAATAATGGTGCACTCAAGTGCACTTAATTTTATCATTAGGAAACAGGGGAAGTAACTGCGATTTGGGCACCCTTAGTTTATAATTCTTAAGGATAATTCTGGAACAAGGTTATGACATGAATGGATAATGCGTGATGTTTTATTAACATTGACGTCACCCTTATTTGGATATTTTTGTGAGCACAGTTGGGCAGATCACTCCTACCCGCGACCTGAATTCTTTTCTCTTCAATCCAAGTTCCATATTTTCAATTTTAGATTTAAAAAGTCATCAAAATCCTACACATAATGTTATTATTTCGTATAGTAATGAGTTTGATTTTGACATCGTGCTAACCATAGACGATAGTGATGATGCTAAATAACGCTGGGGAAATAGTGGTCAGGTTTATCACCCAAACGACTTAAAAAAAATCTCGCATGGATGTTGGCTGCCTTCATTTTTAAGTCTGAGGACTTGTAAGGAGTATTTTGAGGTAGGTCCTGTCGCATGATATTAAGGAATCGGAACGCGTTTAAAAATTTTCCCGAAATATAGGAGAAAACGTAAGAAATATGGGAAAAATAAAATCGTAAAGAGACAAAGCATATATCATTCGCAGGCCATCAAATTACTTATACTTTTATTCATTTTACAAATTACTTTTGTTTATTTATACACATAAATAAATTATAAGTTTAAAAGATTTTTTGCTTGGAAATACACATGTACCGAAATGCCACGATATTCTGCCACGTCGGTTTACCAGTTGCTTAACTAAAATTCACTATATTATTTCTAATAAATACTCAATCTTGTTTATAATATTTTTTATCATTTCAATAATATCACAGAATATTTACATGTTTAATGTATTTTTTTTTATTTGTGTAATTTAAGAGCAATGGAAGATAGTTTAAAGTTTGTCCTGATACCGTTTAAATGTTGATGTAAGATGAAGATGTGCAAGGACCGAAAAGTGAAATCAAGAATTCCTCATTTTCTATTCTTCCTCTATCTCTATGCTAATTAGTCTTGTTGGTCTGGATGTCTTTCAGTTTTATTATATTTCTCCCTCTCTCACACACACATTCTTTTTTTCTTTCTCTGTCTCTCTTCTTCTATCTATCCATCTATCCTTCTCTATTTTTATCTATATTTCTATATATCTAAGCATCTATATTTGGTTTCTTGCTCTATTTGAATGCAATAGAATATAATAGAATTTGTATGGCTGTTAATTTTGTTTCTCTAGATTTCTTTCAATCGGTGTACGAATGGTTGGGAAAAGTAATGAATGAAATGCAAGGTTGAACTTTGGCGAGTGTATTTTTGAAGAGTTTAATATATCAACGCCACTTTTTCAAAGTTCACTCCATTCGAAAATATTTCATAGGGTGCAAACCAGACACCATTTTTGTTTTGACAAGGGTTCAATTTGGCGACATATTTTATTGACTTTTCAAATTTGGGAATAATAATTTAGCTGATATTTTGTGTACACAGGTGTGAGGCCATGGGTATATTAAAGGAATCCGGCCGGACGATTCTACAATAGATTATCCAACAATGAAACTACTATTATCTGCAGGAGCTGCGCTTGCCTTCCTCCTTGGCCTATGTGCCGCCGGCTCCCCACCTGCACAACTACGGTAAGAAATTTAAATATTAATCTTTTTTCATTTAAATTATTTGATGAATTTACCTTGAATTTAGATTTTTATTCTGTTTGAGTTGAGATTTTATTATATATTTTTTTTAATTTTTTTATTATTATGAAGGTATGGCCTTTTAAAAGCAGTATGCTGCGTTATAAGTTTTAAAAGTAGGACCTTTCGGTCTTTTATCTATTGATTACATATGTTGAATTTGTTTCGTTATTTTAGTGTCCACACTGTCAGTTGGAATAGTGGACATGTACCTGCCCCAACGAATCTCGAAGAGTTCCTTGGCCTTAACAGCGGAGAAAATCCTGATGTGATCGCAGTCGCCGTCCAGGGATACGGATTCGAATCGGACAAACCCGCACAGGGCCCAGATTGCGTGAAAAACTTCCAAAGCCTCCTTACATCAAAAGGATACGTCAAGGTAAATTATTCATGATCGATTTGTTCGACAAATGTTTCATCCCATTGGCTTATTTTAGTTGAAATCAACCGTCACAGAGACTATGGGTCTAATCGTCTACTGCCTGGATAAACATCGCGACGAATCTACTTTGAAGCATCAGACCGTTGTCGGAACTATGAACCATCAGAAGAAATCAGGAGGAATCGTGACTAGTTTTACCATTTATAATAAAAGATTCTCCTTTGCCACGTCAAGAATGTCGGACGACGACGTCACCAGTGCGAATACCAAGTATGCCTATGACACAACGCTAGACTATTCCACAGGAAGTGATGCAGCTGACTTCCTATTCTGGGTCGGAGATTTGAACGTCAGGGTGGAGACGAATGCCACCCATGCAAAATCCCTCGTCGATCAGAATAATATCGACGGGCTCATGGCTTTCGATCAGTTGAAGAAAGCCAAGGAACAGAAATTGTTCGACGGCTGGTCCGAACCGCAGGTCACCTTCAAGCCTACCTACAAGTTCAAGCCTAACACGGATGAGTACGACTTGACCGCCACACCTTCCTGGACCGATAGGGTCCTCTATAAGTCCGGCACTGGCAAAACGATCCAACCCCTCAGCTACAACAGTTTGACCAACTACAAACAAACCGAACACAGACCCGTCTTAGGAATGTTTCGTGTTACATTGTAATATGTAGAATTTATATGTACAGTAATAAACGCATGAAATGAAATCTTTTGAAAACGAATTTGTTATAATTATTCCACAGACTTTTTTTCATATTTCCACACAAAAAGTTTGTCTAATTGTTCTAACTTGATAGAATTTTCATCTTTTTCTTTAAGTAAAAACAATTTTACAAATCAAATACTAACGATGAACTAGATTATCGACCTGCTGGAAACATGAAGTCTTTTCGGAGGATCTACGGAAGAGGTCAAAGACAGAGAAAACTTCCTTTCGGTTTTCGCCGAGCTTTCGACAGTTTTATACTGTCATCTTCAGGGCCTGTTTTATTATCATATAAAAAAACAATTAAAACTTGAAAAAAACAAACAAATTACACAAAAATTGATTTTTCATGTTTACATGCTAGCTAAAACATAGTTATCAAATCAGTATTTGATTTCTTTTCGGAGGATCTACGGAAGAGGTCAAAGACAGAGAAAACTTCCTTTCGGTTTTCGCCGAGCTTTCGACAGTTTTATACTGTCAACTTCAGGGCCTGTTTATTATCATATAAAAAAAACAATTAAAACTTGAAAAAAACAAAATACACAAAAATTGATTTTTCATAATAATCCTCTATTTTGGCGCTATTTTTCTTTGAATCCTTCATAATTTTGTAAAATTAGGCTTTACCCTTTAGGTAGATTCCCATAAAGAAACAGCATATTTTAATAACGGAGAATCGCTCCCTCACGAATCAAGCCTTGGGAACCTCGGCTAAGTATACCTTGGTAGATGGTAAGATCGCAGTTATTTGTCTATATGCACTTTCCATGAGAATTTTCTATTTACCCATACTTCCTCAACCATTGGTTCCTCAACTTGCGGCATTTTCATAGATGGCGTACATTAAAAGATCATATGCCTCATTTTAAATTTTCCCCTCTTTCTCTATCTCTCTCTCTCTCTCTCTCTCTCTCCTTCTTCTTCTTCTTCTTTGTGTACCCTATCCATTATCGTTTGTAATGATCACATTGCGCACTCTGTCAACAGCAACTATAAAGAGGGATCGAGTGGTTTGGTCGAACCATTGCCTCAGGTTTTTCAGCCATGAAATTCTTTTCCTTCCAGAACACTCTTAAGGACTTCTTATTTATCCCCCCCTTTCCCTTTCCTTGTTTTTACAGTTGTGTTAATGTTTGTACTTTTGTTCATTCTCCTGAGGAGCTCTACGTTATTGATGCGTTCTGTTCAGCTTATTTTTAGCGCCCTTCTGTCCACATTCCCAATACAGGCGTTACTACTCTACTTACTTTCATTATCCGTTTCGTTTTTGCTCAGTTCTTTATGTCTTGCACATATCTTCTCTACTTTGATCATATTTCTCTCTTTCCCTCCCCTGCTTGTCTGTCTCTCTCCCACTCCCTCACAGTTTCTCTGTTTTATAAATTTACCATCTCCCTAACATTCCCTTTTTTTCTATTTGTCTATGATTACTTCCTCTTCTTTTCTTGTTTTATCTTCCTGTTTCTCTCTCGGTATTTTTGGATATATTTTTTCTCTTCCATTCTGTCTTTTGCTTCATCTTCCCATCTTTCTATTTTAATCTATTCTTAGTTCCTTCATTTTTGGTTTTTCGACCGAGTAAACCGGTTATCTAATTCATTCCTTTTCTATTGGCATTTTGTTTGGACTTTCGCTTTCTTCATTTCTTTTCTATGCTTCTTCTGTTGTTTTTTTTAAGTTTTTTTAAATTTACTTTGTCTCTTGCTTGTTGGCCTCTCTTGTTATGCCTGTTGATCGGCACAACGCTCAATATCAGTCGCTCTGTTTCTTTCAGTTCACTTTTTGGATCTCGATTCACCGTATTTTTATCCACCTCTTATTTCCATCTCCATACTCTTGTTTTTCTAGCTGTATTTCTCTGTCTGTACTGGTCTTATTTTTCTGGGAGTCTCTCTGCCACATTTCATCTGCTTTGTTCACATTCTCAGTTCCCTCCCTCCAGCCTGTTCTTTTTCATACTAACATTCTTTCTAAATTTCTCGGTTTCATAAATTTATGATCTTAAGTTTCGTTTTCTTTAGGTTTCTATGGTTTCTTCCAATCATCTTTTCTTTTTTAAATATCCGCTTCTCTGTCTCAGTATTATTCTTTTACTTTTTCTATTTTGTTTCACTTCCGTTGCATTTTGTTTCTTTGTATTACTCAATTTTTCTCTCCCTGACATCACTTCTCTCTCTCTCTCGTTATTCTTGCTTTCTTCCTGTTGGTCGGCATATCTGCCAATCCCATTTACATTCTTTCTTTTTTTTGCCTTTCTGGATCTCTATTTATCTTACTTCTCCTATAATTTTCTCAATTCCTTACTTACTGGCTCTTTCTCTCTCTCTCCTCTCACTCTCTCTCTCTCTCTCTCTCTCTCTCTCTCTCTCTCTCCCACACTTTTTTCCTGTTTTTCAGCTTTCTTCTCTGCCTGTACCATGTTGTCCTTGTTATTTGGGGGCCGGTTTCAATCATATCCTGAAAAGGTGCAACCCAAGAACCAATCTAAGCCTAAGAGGATTATGTAAGATGACCTATATGAAGGAAGGAAGGAAGTTTTCAAACAAAAAACCACAATAATGGATTTCAACATGGCAGTAAAATCCCCAGACTTTACTTACATAACAAATTATAGATTTTCTGATAGCATTAAATATCTAAAAGCTTCGCATAGGGATTCTAGGTTCGTTAGGACGCATTTCAAGAGTCGGTTTGCCAACCGCAGGTTTCAATCACAATTCCACAATAACGGTACTCTCGGTATCAGTAGGTGTGCCATTAAACGTCCGTTTCCCATTATATTTGGAACTGCCACCTTTTTGAGAAACTACAGTTTTTGATTGATATGGATTTATCCTTCAAATCCCGGGATTTTGCAGCAGGTTTCTAGGGAGTTTTCTTCGAGTTCAACGACTCCATCTACTAGCTGAACAAAATCCTCTGCGTAAAGTAGTATTTTTACAAGTGTTTGCTTTATCAATCCCTTTCTCCCGGTCAACATCATTTATAAATAAGGAAAACGACAGTGGTCATGGGATGCAACCTTGCCGTACACCTGAATGCCCTTCAAAAACACAGACTCTCGTGTATAAATTCTTTAAAAATACAAAGCATTTTTTAGAGCGGCGAACTTCTGTAATACGCCAAGGCTTTCCGATTTGTAGTATACACAAAAAAGTATTACACTTCCTTCTGCTTAGACACCGTTTAATTATACTTCAATGTAAAAGTGGAATCTACAGTCAATTAATCCTTTGTTAAGCATGCAGATGATGTACAGGTTAGGGAGTTTTGACTACGCCCCATATCGCGTTCTGTTCCTATTGCACACCCAATTCCTTGGAATTTAAATTATTAGACCAAATTTTTAGTGGTTGAATTTTTTATATGGTTATGTTCTAC